CCTCTCCTCTCCCTCTCCCTCTCCCTCTCCCTCTCCCTCTCCTTCTCCTCTCTTTCTCCCTCTTCTTCATCTTTGTCTTCATCTTCGTCTTCAGATTGGACAAATACCTGAAAATCTCTTTGCCCCTTTAGTTTTAATGGATCTGTACACACAAATTTCCTTCTGCTGCAAGGGACCACATTCCCTAGAATGTCCCTGTCTAGAGGTCCCTAGAACATACTTCATGTTGCTCTAGGTGGACTGACAGGAAGGATTCATCTTTTGGACCTCTCTACATTTCAGGTACAGGGAATGAAGATTGTCTGTATGAAACCCACCACTTATGACCATTGATCCCTTGAATAGGAGGGGAAAAAACAGATTAGCTGGGATTTGCAGACTGGGAATCTCTAGTCTGGAATTCATAGACAATTATGACCAGAGAGGTTTACTTTCTGCATTACACAGGCCATAAAACTTCTTTTAGTCTTTCATACAATGCAGAAAAGAAATGCTTGCCTATAGCCAAAGTGAACATTATCAAGCTCAGTAACACATGCATTCTTTTCTGCCAGTTCACAGAGTCTGCATCTCTTACTGACCCAGGTCTCTTGCAGGCCATTCATGGTAGAGTAATTTGATTCTGGCTTTTCACATAAGGTTGAGCAGCAACCTGAATATACAAATACCCGCAGCATTCACTATTGATAAGACTTGGAGAAGCATGGGATAATGTGTTACTTAATGTATTTATTGGAGGTGGCTTCAGCAGGATGATGACTTCAGCTGGATGAAGCATTGCATAGCACTCAGCAAATCAACATGAATTTCTCTGTTTACTTTTGTGCATGCATGAAAGTCACGATGAGTCAACTGCAACATAAACTGTTGAAACAGCAGCTCTTCAACACAGTTTTTCTGTCATCCAGAAGGTGTAATGATTGGAGGCATTCAAGAGAATTGAAAATAGTTTCTTAATGCAATCTGAGCAGTTTAGGTGTATTTAAAAACCAAACCCCAAATCTTTTTCAGACTAAGAAATTTGATGACACACTTTTTTCCTGTTATGTATAAAACCCAAAGAATAATTTGTCATACAAGTTCTCCCTTCCCTACCCCTTCCAAACCAATAAAATGATGTAGAAATGCTATTGACCCTAAACTGCATCTCCCAAAGGCTAGGCCTTCTAGTGAAATCAATTAAAGCAAAGTCAGGTCCCAAAGAAAGGCAAGGCCAATAATATTCACCAGATAGACACTATGTTCCTAATTGTCGTAATGTAATTGTCATAGCTGGAACAATTAAAGGTGATTGATTTTGCATCATAGATTGAGTCATGAATCATAATAAGTGGAACAAATTCTTACTGAAGTAAATAAACATTAAAAGCCTTGCAGTACTTAGTGATGTATTACAAAATACCTAGAATTTGACTTAAGGTGATCCAATGCTTTGGATGTGATGGCACAGCAAGGTAGCTTCCACAGTGATTGTACTCAGGAGAAAAAGGCTTGCTGTGTGCCATTCTGGGCAATAAAGGAACCACTATTTTTCAAGTCAACATTAAAACTGGGTAGGAAGAAGCATCTATTAAACCAGACAGAGCAGCACATAGCATAGAAACTGCTTCTGGAACCCTAGCTAGCTAGCTAGCTATGTTTTGGACTGCTTTGGATAGCTTAAAATCACAAAGCAGAGTGGGATGACTGATGATACTTATCAGTGTAGTGTCTTCCAAGCATCAGTAACATGCCTGCTACAGATTCCCCAGTTAACGAAGAATTGCTGAGTACACTTGGAGCACAGTGGAGGATGAAGCAGCCCAGGCTATGAGAACAGGGAAAGATGAGGCACAGCTGGTGGTTTGTTAGACAGGACCTCCATACCATGGCACATCTGTGCCAGATGTGTTATGCCACATTTCTCAGCCAGAAAAAAACAATAGCTAAATGCTAAATTCTCCAGAGATATTCTGAACTTTTTTCTGGTCTTGACCTATTCAGTCTTTTCAGGCCTTCTACAAGCTCAGACTTTATGTACTTTCCTTGGAATGGCTCCCAGCTCACTCATCATTTTTAATGTTATTGTCCCAGTTACTAAGTAACATAAAGTTGCCATACACATCCCTCCCTTTAAATACTATTCCTGTGTTATACTTGATATTTTAAAGCACCCGGTCAATTCATTAAGGTACACAGACGGATCAGAGAAACAACATGTTTTATCGGCTGAAGTATTGAAGTGCTTTAACTTCAACAAGCTGTAGCTCCATTCAGTGTAGAATGCTTATTTGTAAATCAGTGTTCCAGTCTGACTTCCATGCTAAATAAGATTATTAAAGCAAAAGACTATATTTCTGAGATATTAAATGTATTATAAACTGACCCAATTCCACAGAGGAATTTTCAGAAGTGATGTGGTCAGATCCAGCTTCAACTGATAGAAAAATAAGTAGCTTCTTTACATTTAAAGCAGTGTAATATTTTGTCCCTTGATTCAGAATTATAGACTCAGACATTTTTAATGCTTATTTTAGGCTTGCATAGCTCAGCATTGAGTCACTGGTCGACTCATTATCATTATGCATTTATTGTTGAAGTGTTACGTGTTTGCTCTGCACTCTACAAGAACTACTCCCACAAGGAAAACTTTAATTCCCACAGAGGTATCTTTGGAGGCATTTATAAACTTGGAGTAACTCCTGCATACTTGTCCTTTTATCTCTTTTCTCAAGTGACAGAGAAGTAGCAATGGGAGTATCTAATATACTAAGATGTGCTCTGTCAGATCCTCACAGCATCATCCTCTTCCGCTATCCTGTCTTTGTTAGGCCAGGGTAATTAGTTTTTCTCATGGCTCATAATTAAAGCCAGATCTCATAGAACTAAACACTTTGGGAAAGAAGATTAATGATAGGCTCCCTCGTTTTGTGTCTCACAAGGGTGGGGAAATCATAACGAGGAGGAGGAGGAATGTGGAGGAAAGAAGTCTTGTGTTCAGCACAGTAAATGGAGAAAATGGCAAACACAATTTCTGGGGAGTGAAGAAATTAGTTTAATCATTTTCTAAATCTTTGTCTTCCCACTTTTTGGGTGAAATTTGCTTGCAGTACATTTCCCATGCCTTCATCTTGAATGCACCACGATTGTGGTAATTTTCTTCCCAATGTGAAGTGCAAATAGAAGAAAGCAGAAGCAGCAGCCACCTGGTATGACTGAGCAGGGCTCAGTTTTGACTGATGAGCTGTGAGTGAGCCTGTGTCCCAGGTATGTTCAGGGCAAGGGCCACTGACTAATGCATTCGTCCATTCATTGTTTTATTTTAGAATCAAAAAGATAGTTTGGAAAATCTGTCTTCCACAACACTAGCTGATATAGAGTACTTGATGTGCTTTTGTACTTGATTTTTGTTTTTAAATAACTGTATAGGACTTGTTAGAACAATAACTAAAAATATCAGCTCTTGAGATTTCATTCCCCCACCCTCAAATGACTTAGTGGTGAACACAGGAAGGTTTTGAATCAAACTATTTGAGACAAAATGTAAAAAATCTGATTTAGTTATCCAAGTATACATCTGTATCAGCTCCCTTAAATCCAGTGGAGTTAAATTTAATTTATATTTGGGTAACTAACCTTGGAATCTAACCCAAAGTGCATTTATGTACCTCCCATGTCCAAGAACAGATCATAAGTGCTTGAATGCAGGATCAATGTCCTTTTCAGCTCTTGCTGTTATTATTTATGTTTTGTAGTACTATAACACCAAAGGGACCCCAGTCTAATTAGGATCCCATTTTACTTTGGAAGAAATATGAATCAATTGTTCAAGAAAGTGTTCAGTCAAACCTAGGGAAACAGGTGAACTATATTTTGGAGGAAGGAAAGAAAGGTCAGGAAAGAAGAAATAAAAGGGAAAAAAAAAGAGCTCTTTTCAAGCAAAATAATCTCAGGAACGCACAGCAAAGTATTGGTCAGTTCCACACCTTTGTTAGGATCCCTGTTATAAACAGGTTTACAACTGAGCTAAAAAGAAAAATCAGTTAGTGAGTGTCTCAGACAATAAAAAAAGAAGGAAAGCAAGTCGTACAACACTAATAAATTCTTGTGCCTGCTTAAAACAACAAGCTGAACAGTTTAAAAAAAAAAAAAAAAAGAAAAGTTTGAGATTTGTCTCTCATTTCAACAACTAAAATAAGCAGTCCTGTGACAATTTAATTTACTTCTGTTCTAGACCATACCTATTCTATATGAACTACCCTAAGCATTTTTTGCCAACAACAGAGTTCATTTAAAAATAATATGGAAGTTGTCCCATCAGGTTCTCTAGTTACATAGGAACTTCTTCCACCTCCACAAACACAAATTAATAGGAAAATTACAGAACTGGATTCCATCCACAGGAATCTGTTCCCCTGCCTCTTCTCTCTAACATGAGTCAGTTTTGTACATGAATTTTTACCAGGTGTGGAAATGTATGTTACCATTGAGATTCTGTAAAACTCCTGATTCAATGGAGCTTTAAGTGTCTGGATTCCAAGTATTTAACTTAGGTTTATTGGCTCAATGCTTTTTAAGGAGCCTTAGGTGGATTACGTGCTGACTAGTAGGGCATGTATGTTAAGTTTCCAGCAATAATTTTTCCCCTAGTTTCTCACTATTTTCACTGAGGACCACAGAAGGACCAAAGTAAAACTAGTAAACCAGAAAGAACTTACCGTTACCAAATGTCTCCAACAGTTTACAACAGTATCTGTGCTTCATCCTGTTATTAATTTTGGTTCACACTCTTCAAGAGTGGGCTGCAAGTGTTGGGCAACATCTTGACTGTATCAGACCTTGGAATGACAGAAAATAAAGTTTGTTCACAAAGAGCATCTACACACATTTTCACGTCTGCGCAAACATATATATCAACTAAGGAGTAAAAAGACATCTTTGACCTTCTGCTGCTGAAAAAAAAAAAAAAAAAAAGGCCTGTTATATATTCTCAAAATTGTAAGGAATACTAGAATGGGAAACTGGTGCATTCTGGTATATTCAAAATAATATGGAATTCAAACCCTTGCTGAGTTTGAAGCAAGCTTTGGATGCCAAGGCCTTCTGAAAAGCAGATCCCTGTGAACATATCAGAGGTGTGGAAAAGATTATTGAAAATTGATCTAAGTGTTTAAAGGATTAGCAAAGTAAAGGCATAGATTTTCTCTCACCTGACAGTTCTGGCTTTTTAGTCCACCTTCTTATAGTTTTCCATATTCTTGACTGCTGTGATGGCTTGTGCATTTTCCAGAAGGTCATGATTAGTGACATGGGCTGGAATGATTGAGAAATAGTCAAAATTCAGAATTAAAACCCATGGGTTGTTGAGTCCAATTAGCATTTTAGAGGCTGTGGAACAGTAAAAAGTTGCAGTCACTCCAGGGAATGGAAGGACTGAAAGTTTTCTGAAGGAACTTGTCATATACATCTGGGACAGGAAGAGCCATCAAAACAGACCTTATGCTCAAGAAAGAGTGTGGGAAAAGTTCAAAAGCTCATTTGGACCTGTGTATCTCATGAGAAAGAAATGAGACTGTAAAGATGAATGTAGCAACTGGCAAGAGAAATAAGTACAAATTTTCGGTGCCAGAGAGTTGAACCAAGAATTAAGAATTTCTGTTAATGTAGGCTTGAGCATATGTGATTATTCATATACAAGTAAATAGCTGCCATAAATAAACTAGACATCTTGGCTAAACTAAAATGTAAGAAATATTTGCTTAAAACACCGTTGGTACAAGAATTATGATAGGGTCATCCATATTTCTGTCCACACTCTTGATTTCTAAGGTTTTTTCCTGATATTCCAGTAATGAATGCTCCAAATTTCAAATTCAGAACATTTTGATTCTTATTGTTTCAGGATTTAATTTTTTTTTGTTTTGTGGATTGTTGTTGCAGACTGAGTAAAGAATGTGTGATCACTAGCTATGATGAGAAAGACAAGTGTCTTGGTCAGTCTGAGCACAAAGAAAGCAAAAATGTACCTTTTTACTCGAGGATGCAATTTAGATTTTGACAATGGACAGAAATAAGAGAAAGTTTAGAAAAAAAGAGTAAATAGTTACAAGAACCAAATCTTCCAACTCCTTTTTCAAGTCTGACACAGCTCATCAAAACATTTTCCTGACTAAGAACCAAGTTCAAAACTAATGTGTTAGAAATTAGCTCTGAACTTTTTGCAAGGGTGCAACTGTGAACATTGTACATTGTACAATATAGGACCTACATTCTTCAAGTTAAATAAACAAAATGAACAGATGCAAGCTATATCCTAAAAGTCTAAGCTTTCTTCATGCTTTTTAAATGTTAGGAGGATAAAGTGGATTTGGGAGCTTTTAATCACCTTTGTTGCAAGCTTTTCTCTTCAAGGGGCTTCCAGAGCAAAGCAAGCCACAGCCTGATTGATCATTTTTAAAGGGATTCCACTGGCCACACATGCACTCAAAGCAGAGTCTTTTATATTTCCTGTGACAAAAGTAACCCTGGTTAGGTTCACAAGGTGAATATAAAAAACCCCACGAGAATAAGAACTAGAAGAAACTTGTATTTCCCATTCTCAGGCTTACTGTACACAGTGTTTCCTACCTTCAACCACATGGGAATTCCTCTCCCACAAAAATAAATATATAAACAAACACTTTTGCTCTTCTTTTCTTGAGAGACATGAAACAACTAGAAGCAGTCAGAAATGCTGGATAGTCCTAAGTAAGAGAACTCTGAGGAGAACAAAAACAAATCCAAAAAACTTTATGTAAGATCCGCAACAGCTTCATGTAAAAAATTGTATTTGTTTTTGACTGCTACACTCTGTCTTTAAAACAGCAGTAACAAGGAAGAAATTTACAGTCATTTAAACACTGTGGACAGCTTTGCTCAGCTGCAGTGCCTAGGCTACTGATAAAACAAATTAGCATCAGAGCAAGAATAGGACAAGATAGTGCTATGACAGAAATAATATAAGGAATAATAAGAACCCAGGTGTACATAATTAAGATTGTAATTCAAGCAAAGGGTTCTGGTGACATCATTTATCAATGTCACTACAAACTCTCCATGGAATTACAGCTTTGTATGTAGAATTCAGATATACGTGATTTGTTAGAATACATGAGGAATGTTTCTATTAAAAGTAGACAGACAATATGTTAACCTCAAGTAGTGATGAGATACAAAGAGAAGAGGTTTTTCCTGTTCTAGCAAAGGAAGAAAGATCAAACATTCAGAGTATTTCTAAGATATTTGGAAATTAAATTTATTTAAAATACTATCTAGGGATTTTTTTTTCCCCAAAAGCATCAGAAAAAGTTTCACTTCTAGTGTGATTCAACACTGCAATTAAAAAAACCCAAAACAAAACAAAAACAAAAACCTGCAAAAAAGATCAAAGGAACAGTCAAAACTACTTATTTGTCCATCTCATTGTATAGCAAAAAATCACACTAAAAGAAGCTCAAACAAAACATTTCCATTAAAAGGATGGTATAAAATATTTACAATTACACACATAGTAATGCTAGTATTAAATTATTAATTGCAAATTAACTCATTTTTAGGAGGAAAAAAGATTGAACATTGATGCTTTTTAATACATATGCTGACATGAGATGATAATCATTACCTTTGTGAATGTCTGATTTTTTTTTTATTTTTATAAGCAGAAAACTTTAATGAAGATAATTATGAAATAGAGGCCCCACAGTCTGTTGGAATACTGAGTCTTAACTGAACTTAAAAGACTAATTAATGTAAAACCACATTCTTAAATTAGACTTCTAAATATAATCTCAATGCCAAACTACTTACTCAGGTTACTCAGGACTTTTCAGCCTCACTCAGGTGTCCACAGTCCTCACACAATAAACGTGAATAGCATCTCCTTGAGAAAGCAACGTTCAGTAAATAGTGATGCGAACCAGAAATAGAATGCAGAATGATGGGAGGCTTGACTACTGACTGATTAGAGAAACAGATCCTGATCAATGCAGTGAGAAAGAGGCTTCCTTCAACTTTATAAACCTAGCACTAAACCTCACCTATATAAAGCACCTACAACTATAGCTATAAAAATTCACAAAATTATTCAATGAACCGGGTGGATTTCTCGCTTTTTGGTCACTTTCTGAAGTACTCTAATTGAAGACCATAACTAGTATACCTTTTCTAGTGTCCAGCAAATCTTGTGATGCTCTTGAATATAGTCTGTGAAATGTTGTGATAATGGATTCTATATGGTCACTTGATAATATCAGCAATTTTTCAAATTTGGCATTTGTAGACTGTAATAATATCTCAAAAGATAATAAATTTTCTGAAACTTTCAGGAAATGCTGACTGATGTTATAAAGTTGTGGGGTTTTTACTTATCATTATAAAGTTTTGGGGTTTTTTTTTATTTGCTCTTGCTGAAGTACATAACTTTTGTGAAAATTGAAATGCACGAAGATTTGGGAGCTTGTGGAATTACAGCACTTCTCATCCAACTTCACAAGTCTTGAAAGTTTAGCTTTGTATATGATCCTTGGAGAGAATGGCTTGAACAGTAGCAGCTTTGACCTTGAGTAACTTAATTTGGAAAGGAAATTCGGTCAAACTGGCTCAATGTAAGAGTTCTCATCAAGGATTAATGCATAGAATCAATATGAACTTTTTATAGCAGACTATTTTTGAAAAAGGACAACAAAAGGTTAGAATACTTTAAAACTCGGAAAAGCAAATTAGTATGACTTAAAGTGGGTAGTACTGGAATGAAAATGTAAAAAGCGGGGATCTTGATTTCATGCCAGCATTTAGTAATACAACTAAAATATAGAGAAAACAGACTTTAAAATTGTGGTTTTGTATCTCTTTGAAACCATAGCTAAGATTATAAACATTTGACTGCCCTGTCTCTTCATCTCTTCATGGTTGTACTGAATGAAAAACAGTCATGATTGCAATTGATTGATGCTACTGTCACAATTTTTTATTTTCTACAAGGTCAAAATTGCATATTAACATATCCCTTTATGGGAAAGTTTAAAATCTTATTTACATCCTAAACAAAAGAGCTGTGGAAAACACATAAACACATCTCATTTAAGTTGCTGTACACACAAATCCCACTCTTGAAGCATATGGGGATCCCCCTGGAATGGGGAATCAGGCCCTTTAATAGCCCTTTCGTGAGCAACAGATATTTATGCATGTCCTTATGTTACCATACCTAAGGAGCTGACGGACAGATTGATCCCACTTACTGTACCCATCACTGTCTTCTCTCCTCTTGTCTCTCCCTTAACTACAAAAAACACACAGATATGGCTTCTGAGCACAACTCAAACCTGACATTTTTCTCCACTGCCATATGGCACACTTCCAAGAGCTTGCTACCTACCCATGTGCTATTTGTGCCCAGCAAAGTTTGTGACCTTGAGGAAGCTCCATGAACACTGGGGGTGTTTATAGGTTCAGCAGGTAACTCCATCTACCTCTAGCCATTCCAGCACAGCAACCTGTGACAGATTCCTGTACATTTCAATCCATTTCAGAATACTGTTAAAATGCTGGATGACAGATGACACCAAATGTATTTTAAGAAAAATTATACAAGCTTTATGTAAAAGTAAAAATCTTTCTAATATGGTGATTTAATTCAGGCTCTCAAAACGTTCTTTTCTGATACTTGCTAATGCAAATATACTAGTCTCCTTGTCACAAACTTCTCTAGACTTCACCTGTGGTCTTTGGAAGCTGAGCAGGTTAACTAAGTTACTGAAAAATGACAAGCAGTTTTCTCAGATAAGCTATCTTCTTGAGATCTTCCTCTCCTCTTTCTCTTCCTTTGGCTTTTTTCCTGAGAATGAGGCAATGGCATCAACTTATTAATTCTCTTTATTCAGTGCAGGAAAAAGAAAAGGGTGTTTGTAAGGCATTGGTCTTACAACAGTCTTTTGGTTCTTTTTTGTTCTCCATTTCTTCACTCATTTTTTTTGTCTTTTGTAATTTCTGCCTCTTCCATTTACAAGATACCTGTTCCTGTACCTCAATATTTGTTATTTATGTTCTCTGGACTATTTTTTGTCTTCCCTCCCCTGGAAGAAGTATCTTCAGACAGATGCCTCAGGTGGTGGAAAAAGACCACGATCCTCTTTCTCCAAACATCTCCATTTTGATTTGGAAGTTTGGTTTAGTGATATTTTCAATAATGGCTGGTTGATATTCTGTTTCCAGATGTGAACTCTGCTTTCAACAGCAGAGCGATAAAGATGTAGTGCTTAATAATGAAGAACAGCAT